CGGCTGCACGGCCCTGCCCCGCCCCGGCCCACAGAGGAGGGGCTCCGGGGCCCGTCCCGGGGGGCTCTTGCCCAGCGGGCAGCACCACCTTAATCGCTTGCTATCGCGCCAAAGATGGATGCCTTCGTGTAGCCTTTGCTGCTGGCCTCTTTGTAGGGGACAAATCTTAGTGGGTCCTACTCGTTTATAATTAGCGACCTTCTTAATTGCAGCTGTTTGCGGTGTGTACGGAAACTTGCACTAGGTGAAGAGCAGCAGTGGGAATGGGCTGTTTGCGGTTTAGGTAAATAAGCAGTTGCATCTCACACGTAACAGGTATTTATCCTGTCATATTTAATAGGGGTGCAGCTGTTGCTATGCATGAGAAGCCTTGGGTCGTCTCTGTCTTTCTAGGGGTAAGGTGGTGATCTGGGCATCATGATGTGCCAAATGTGCTCTGGCTTCAGCAATATGCGTGTGCCTGTAGGTTTTACAGGGTACTAAGGGTAATCTTTCATGTTTGCTGTAAGTAGGAAGGTGGGAAGATTCGTAGTGCTTCCTCCCATCAGCTGCTGGATGCCGTAGGCTAGGAACGCAGTAACTGTAGGCGCCTTTACTCCATGTTTTCCGCACCAGCCATGGTAGTCACTGATCAGAACATAATTTTAAGAGATTACTTTTATCAGTCTGTGCTGTCACAGTGCTGTGAAGATGCCCCTTCAACAAGGGAGAATAAATCTCACTAGTTCCAGTGTACAACAGCAGTTACTATCAGGCTTCAAGAAAGTGTCAGGTGGGATATGCAAGTGGTGCATGTCTTCAGATCCAGAGCATAAGTAAATTTTGCTTAGCACTTACCACAGATGTGACAACTCCCCTATATATTTGTTGGAGATACACACGCACAGAGAATATGCATATATTGTGTATCACTTTCTGTTCCCTGGTGTCCTGGGAGCTATTGCAGCGAGCTGCCCTGCTCCCCCGCAGAGTGACAGCCAGCAAGCAGCTTCCTGCTGGGTGGGCTGCAGTATAATCCTGGAGAATGCTGTTGAAAATGGATCCAGTGGCCTGCCTTCAGGTTTTGTCTGTGTGTGTTGTTAGGCCAAAAGAACTGCGATTGATAAGGAAACACTTTTTTACTGTGCGAGTGACTGAGCACGGGAACAGATTGCCTAGAGAGGTTGTGGAGCCTCTCCATCCTTGGAGGCACTCAGAAGCCATCTGGATGTTGCCTTGGGCAGCCTGCTGTAGGTGGCCCTGCTTGAGCGGGGAGGTTGGACAAGGTGACCTCCGGAGGTCCCTGTCACCCTCAACTGCTCTGTGAGTCTGTGAAAATAACGTTTTGCTGCTTTGGTGTGATACTACATGGGGCTGCTCTTGAGTGACTCACTTTAACTAAAATGTTACGAAGAAATTAATTGAATAAACCTCAAACTTTTATTTGAAATAGTTGTTGAAATAGATTTGCACAGAACAGCAAGCAGTTACTTGAAGAGAGGACTTTGTGTGTAGACAGCCTCAGATGGATGAAGACATTATTGTCTGCATGGAGCACAACTAACTGGGGCAATCTAGAAGCAGAATTGTTTTGTGTCTAGATCTGTGTGACATGCCTCTTGCTCCAGTGTAGGCAGGTAGTTCTGCCATTTTATTTTTTTGATTGATATTTAGAGGTGTATTTTTAAAATATGATGGATGAAATGTTTTGGCTGAGTTTTATTTTTTTAAAGTAAAAAAGTTCAGAAATGTTATTTCAGGCGTAGTTTGAAAATACGGTATCCAGGCTTAACAGATGTTTATTTTAAAAAATGTGAACATATTTGAACATTGCATATGTGCGTCTGTTCCTCCAAATCTGTTGAGAAATATACGCACATCCTTCTCTGTGCTTCATATACAGAAAAATGATTTTGTGTTTGTAAGTTACCAGGACGTAAAAGCCTTAGAAACTTTCCTGGGACATAAAGTGCCACGAGTGCACAACGGGAACAGGCTATTATATTTGTATTGATGTTACGTGGCCTGGCAGGGCCACCATGCTCATGGTATATTAGGATCATGCATATCTGGTTGATTTCAATCATTTTCTGCCGGAATTGAAAGGATTATTTACCACAGTGATTATTGGTAGTTTTCTTGGTTTGGGAATTTACTTCTATCTTATTGTGGAGCTATAGACTCCTTTAGTTTGTATACAATTAACTTTTGCTGTATTTGTTAGTTTATGTTTGCTTTATCTCTTCAAACCATATAAATTGTCATTGACAAATGGTGCACAGAAGTAACTTCCGGTAAGACTATTATGTTATACTATCTCTAATACATTAAGAGTAATTTGCCTGTAGATCCACAGGATCAAAAAGGAGGCCATCAGGGATTTACGGTTTTGAGGAATGTCAGGAAATGCTTTTGCAGGTCTCTTGGTATGCTAAAAACTTTGGCTTTCCGGAATTTAACAATGAAGTATTCAGAATGTAAAACGTGTTTTTATCAAAACCAATGTGTTGATGAATTTAAATAAACTAATTACAGCGTATCTGTCTTACCTTACATATCTATTTACAGAGATTAGCCTTCAGATAGAAATCCATAATTTACTTGTTAATCTGTTCTCTTCTGGTTTGCTCACCAAGCTTGCCATAAAAATATATTTATATATTCTAAGCTTGTACGTTAGTAGGTGCTATTTTCTGAATTTAAAAATAGACTGCATGTGTTGCATAAAATGCCTTTGGGCAGGAGAGGAGGGGGATGTCTGTCTGGTTGACATGGAACATAAGAAAAAATCTGAAGTATGCTAGAGCTAAATATACTGATAAGCATGCAGCTATGAGGGAAAAATGAGTTAAAAATGTATTGAGTTTAGTCTTATTAGCACATTAAATGCCAACAGAACGGTCATACCCAAGCTTTTATTTCAGAAATAATCACCATTTTGCTGTGAAGACAACTCAGACCCTGTAGCGTGTGCAAACAAAGGAAATACTTCTTTAGAGCCTTGTTACGCAGGGCGACGATGGTTCACTCTTTGTTCTGCCAGCCGTCTGCAGCGCTGGTGCAGAAAATGGACGCTGGAATGTTTAAATAAACTTTAGATGCTCTAGCTCCACACACGTTTTGAACAGATTCTCCTTTTTAAAAGTAAGTCTGAGGCGGATGTAAATGAGCACGGCTGGGCTTTTCGCAATGGCTCAGAGTGATACACCTTGGGATGCGAGGCTGCGCTGCTTCCTTCGGATTAGTTCATCATCTAATGATGAACAGGGGAAGGTGTGAGGTTGTTGCAGGCTTAAGAATATGATCACTGCAGCAGGAGGCCCTTGCCAAAGGGGCAAGGCTGGCCTCTCTGTTTATCCCTCGGTTACTTCTGAGTTGGTGAGATCTGTTATGACAAGGTAGTGAAAAAATCTGAGGAGGATTATCAGAAAGGTAGCATGTTTTTCTGTCACTGTAATTAAGCTGGCAATAGAGTAGTATTCTTCAGCTCATTTATAGGCTGTGCATTTTAAAAATTCTTGGCAATGTAGTTTAAAGTAAAGCAATGCACGGGCAGGAATATAACAACGTTAATGCTGTTCAGCCAAATGCAGCTTGCTTTCGGCCGGCCGCCTGCCTGGTGAGGCTGCCCTGTGTAAGGGGCAGCTGGAAGGAGGTGGGTCGGCAGGCACTGTCTGTGTGCGGTGCGACGCTCAGGGGTGTGCGGAGACCCTCCGTGGTGGCTGGGAGGGTGCTGGGGGTCCCAGGAGGTGCAGTGCAGGCTTTGCTTCTTGTGCACGTGGTTATATGTACTGAGCCTAGCGTAATGGCAGAGGAGCTGTCCTCGCTGGTGCCCAGTAAGAAATGTTTGTCAGGACAGCAGAAGACAGAGAGTGGAACAGGAAGGCTTGAGGTCCTTCTGTGTAGCTACTGCCCGTGCGTGAGGGCTGCATGCTACCTGATGGATGCTGTGGACACTGGGGTCTCTTCCAAGGCTGGTGTGTTTCTGAGGAATAAACTTGCCTTAAAAATAGTCTGGAACCTTTCATAGGGTCTTAGAAGACTGGAGACCAACTCATGTTGGCAGGGAACGAGACTTTGACCTGTAGGTGTGGGCACGGTTGGGTGTAATTTCATTTAATTCACTGGATTTGTGTCCACTACTTTCAGCACTGGATTTTACTCTGTTTAGGTAGTGATGGTTTGTAGGTATTTGGAGACTTCTTTATAGTAATGCTGGAGTTTGATTATTGACTTTGGAGGGTTTGCTTGTTTTATTTTGTGGCTGCTCTGACTTAGAGAGTTCTTTCTCTGACCCAGGAAGCAGGTTTGGAAACAAGCCCTTGGCTAAGCTCTCTAAAGTGCTTCTGTCTGTCCAAGTCACTTTTAGGTTCTTTCACTTATTTAGTAGGGTTCAAATATAAAATCATAGAGAGCACTGAGGTTGGTTAGCGGCGTCAGCAATGCTAATCAAACATAATTCAACTGACTGTCATGTAAAGGAAGGTAAGATAAGGTAGGGGGAGAAGTCACTTCAAAAGAGCTCCTCTGAAACTCAGCTCTGCTCTAATCTGCCTTTCAAATCTGGCTTCTACTGCCCTCATAGAATGAATCAACCTGACATTTTAGCAAGTTTTTAAAGAAAAGGGGTGAAGTGTTTAGAATGTATCAAAGGGGTGAAGCAGAGAACATCTGAAGAAGATCATCTTTTATCTGATAGCCTCTTTCTTCACAGCAGAGGAGCAAAAGTAGGTTAGGTCTTTGTCCCTGCTTTTCACTTTTTGAAGTTTTGTGTTGTTTTTCTGTGAAACATGTTTTAGTGAAGAAAGTTTTATTGCAGGAATTACCGTATATAACTTTGATATTGAACATCTTTGATTGTGTGATTCATCAGGAGGATGTAGTCTATTGCCCTTCCTGCTACATACTGTATGTATCCTTTTCACTCGGAAAACAATTCTATTCTAAAGTAGGCCAACAATAGGTTTTAAGTAGATATGCAGATATATACACATATATTTATATTTATACAAGTATATGCATATATGTATGTATGTAGTATCTAGAGTTGTGTGTACAACAGAGATGTTTTCATTATGCCAATCCAACAGTTGTAAATGTAGAGAATCTGGCAGAGAAGAATTAAGCATATTTTCTCTGAAAGTTGTAGGGGACAAAGAATCTGACTTTTTCCTTTCCAAGTCTCTCTTTAGTGTGGAAATGCTTTTGAATGGTTGTCTTAATACTCAGTACAAGTCTATTTGCCTTGCGCTGGTATTGATGTTAGAAGTCTTACAGATTTCTCTAGGAGCAAAGTTAGGGCAGTGCTGAGTCTATCCAGAAAAGTCTGTATTTTCTGTTGTCCTTGCTGCTGCTTTTGAGCTGTAGAAGCTGACTTATGTGTTTCTAAGAGAGACAATTCTTTATTACTGGTGTGTCTAGACTTTGAAAGAGCCAGAAGATGTGAATGCTTTTTAGAATGTGTTAATAACTTTCCTTCCAGTATGATATGGAAGTGTTTCATTTCAGGGTTCCCTGCAAATATAGCTTGAGCCATTAGTTGCAACCCCGCCATGCAAAAAAGCCCACACTCGTTATTTTATATGGAATGGCAGTCATTTGAGTTGAATTGTTGAAGAAAATAACATGACTTAAAAATATATATATATTTCAACTTCAAGCAAACTATTAATGTTTATTTTTTGATACTTTCCAGAGACACATGGAATCACATTTAGAATTCAAATCAATGTGAAAGAACTGCTGGATACAGATGTGCTTTTAAAGCTGTTATTTCATTTACCAGTCAATTATCCATCAACTCTACCAGATATTTCTGTTAACTCAGACCAGCTTACAAGGGCCCAATGTATGGACGTGAAAGATAAATTACTTGAACAAGCGAAGATGCATCTTTCTGAACCCATGGTACATGATCTGATTCTTTGGATACAGCAGCATCTTAAATATGTCATTAAGCAATCAACAACAGTTTGCAATGAAAAAACTACTTTGTCAAAAGGAACAAGTACAGAGGATGGTATCTGGATGCTCCTTTTGCATTTAGATCACATGAGAGCAAAGGCAAAATACATCAAAACCGTGGAAAAATGGGCTTCAGATCTGAGGCTGACTGGAAGACTGATGTTCATGGGCAAGATAATATTGATTCTTCTTCAGGGTGACAAGAGCAACATTAAGGTGCAGGAACAATGAATGTTGACTAGTTCTATCGATTTACCACTGAAATGTATGTGTCTGAATATTTTGTGTGTGTTTTTCTAAGAGAAACAATTTTGGAAGCAGATTGATCATTAGGAGAGTAGGAAGGCCCAACAACTATATTCTGTATTTAAGAAAAAGAAAGTATTCAATGAGAAAGAAGCCAGTGATACTTGTAGACCTGTGACCTGTATTGCTTTGCTTCCCACTGTAATTATACCCCTGTATTCCCTGTGTTTCCTGACTGTAATAATGCCTAGGTTCAGTCTCCTGTATTTCCCAAATGCCCTATAAAACAGAAAATTCGTGATGATAAATTAATAACAGACATATTTCTACCTCACTACAAACTGTCTCTTTTCTTGACTTAGACCATGTGATGCTCCTAGTGCACGCCTGGGCTTTGGACTTCTTGTCTGTACTTAAGAACTCCCACTGCATTAGGCAGGTTTTTGTGGTGATAGTGGAGGAGAATGTTTTGGCTTTTCAGACTCGTGTTCTCTAGATCACTTAAGACTGTGCTTAACTTCAAGCTGATGAATAGAAACAGTCATGCACTTTTTGGGATGGGCACTTTCAAAGTTTGCTTGCTATGTTCTGAAAAAAAATCTGGATGTTTTATATAGTTTTTTTTTCATTTTACTAAACTTCAAAGATACTAGATGACATTTAATATTTTGTTCTTTTTTTTGTCATTTAGGAGTACTTGATTCTTCAGAAAACTTCTAAGGTAGATGTGGACTCAAGCGGAAAGAAATGCAAAGAGAAAATGATTAGTGTACTGTGTGAGACAAAAGTACAGTCACAGCATAAAAGGTATAATTTAGTACTGTTGTGGATAGAAAAGTAACAGAATCGATAATTACATTCTGACAAATCTAGGCATATTCATGAGTTTCCCTTTTACAATGTAGGTTTCAGATGTTTGAAGTGAAAGAATATTCAACACTGGATGAGCTACAAAAGGAATTTGAAACTGCAGGACTTACAACTCTTTTCTCCGAGTTTGTGCCTCCTCTCTTAAAATAAAATTAAAAGAAAACACTGGACTCCTCAACCAAAGCAGTAGTTGACTGCAGATGCTGATGGAAGATAAAAGGACTAATTCAGCAAACAATGTTAAAGCTTTTCTGAAAAAAAATGCCAGAAGTAGCCATCCTCTTGCAAGAAGGAAAAGGCAATTCATACATTAAGAATTAATAATTTTTTGACATTTATGTATTGATAACCTTTTTCCAAGGAATGTAGAGCTAATTGTGATAATTGCATGGCAAGCATAATAGATTGGGAAGAAATCATGTTAAAATAATAGTCTTCTAGTTAGACTCTGTTTTGCAATCCCTGCTTTTCAATGTTTCGGTTTTTATCTCTCATGGTAGTGTTTTTTCGTAATGGCCTGCTAGAAAGCAGGATTAATTTGCTTTGAAAGCTTATATGAAGATATTGCTATAAAAAGCATAGCAAACACAGATTTGAATATGCGAGGACAGCATATACTTAATATCCCTTAGGTGTTCATCTGCTAACTTTTCTTTCTCCAATTATTTGACTGTAAATGCTAGACTGTTGATTTAAAGAAAAAGTTCATGTCACTTGGGGCCTGAAAAAACTTAGAAGTGTCTTTTTGAATGTTAGTCTTTATTCTACAATGTATAAAAACACCCAACTGGAGAATTTAAATTGATTAAAAAGCTAAAGTAAGGCCAATTGTAATATTTTCTTTGATTGTTTACAGATTCCTTTTTGCACTTTATCTGGTTTTACTGTCTGTGCATCTTTAGATATCTTGATTTAATTAAACTGTCAGAACAGTATATATACAGACTTCAGTCTTCTGTCTCTCAAGACTTCTGTCAAGTCTTCTGTCATTTTAGAAGCTGGTAAGTTAAAACTGCCTATTAAATTTTCCCTATCTTTAGCATTAATTTTTTGATTGGTCAGTGGTCTTGGCCAGCTTTTAATTTTTTTATCACTACTCTGTGTTTTACTTCAGTATAATGTTATAAATTATATACCTCACTTTTACAAATCAAGTTGTGCCAGTTCTGTTTGCCTAGGGAGAAGTGGATACTCGGACCATGAGATCATACCTCTTTGTGTATACTAGAAAAGCCACTAAAGCAAACTATTAAGATTTTTAGGTTTTGCTATTTGAGGTATCAAATGCATAAAGGGTTGCAGACTATTTGAGAGTTTTTTAAGTTTTTAAGGAGGTTGGTAATTTTTCTAATATGGAGTGTCTCAAATACATATGTTGCATGTTATTTTATGCACCGAGGCTTATTTAATGAGACAGTAGCAAAAGCTCTTTGTAATGAGTCTTTCATGTGTAGCACATATAGTACTTCAGGCACAGTAGAAAACAGACTGGGTTAAACAGGTTTTACAAATCTGTTCTATATTATTTTGAAATGGCTTCCTGGGAGAAGGGAAATCTAATTATCTATCACTTTAAGTGTATGCGGAGATGAATTTTTACTTTTATAAAGAATAAAAAAACGGAAGTATCTTTAAAATATTAAAATAACATGTATTTAAAATTACAGTTTTCAGAATTGAGCTATTCTCAGTTAAAATATCTATGTTTGAAAAATGGCGTGTCAGTGGAGTATAAAGTCTTGAAAAGATACAGAAGATCTGTCCTTATACTGTGTGATAGATCTGACAAGTATCAAACCCAGGAAAAGACCTATGCATATACAGCATAAGAAAATGTAATCAATATCTCTCCACAAATCTAAATGTTTTAAGCTTTTGCCAGATGGATTTGATGTCCTCAGCCAGATCTTTATTTTAAAGTGCTCCACCTTTCTGGAAAGAGCAGAGTAAGGCACTTCAGCACAGCCTATATCACAAGTCTAGCCAGGGCCTTATCCCACATGCATATAAATCAGTTGTATATGCTTTCTGTTGATTTTGGGAATTGAGTTGAATAGTGTACCTAATCACGTGATCTCAAATTGCATGTGACTGCAAAAATAATTGAGTCATTCAGTTGTTGTGGTCATCTTTCTTGCAAGATTAGATGCAGACTCTCCAACTTTTTCCTCCTTACTGTAACAGCTACTGTAATTGGCTGCATAAGAAAAGCCATTTGTAGAGTCAGTGGTTGCCAGATGCACTTGGATATAAACTCATGTATTTTCTTGAATATTATTGCCTGATGCCTTCTTGATTAAGTATTTGGTCAGAGCTAGCATTCTGCAACAGCCAATTAAAAAAAGTAAAAAATGTTGGAGCGAGTCCAGAGGAGGCCACGAAGATGATCAAAGGGCTGGAGCACCTCTCCTGTGAAGACAGGCTGAGAGAGTTGGGGTTGTTCAGCCTGGAGAAGAGAAGGCTCCAAGGAGACCTTAGAGCAGCCTTCCAGTACCTGAAGGGGCTTACAAGAAAGCTGGAGAGGGACTGTTTACAAGGGCATGGAGTGACTGGACAAGGGGGAATGGCCTGAAGCTGAAGGAAGGTAGATTTAGATTAGATCTAAGGAAGAAATTTTTTTATTGTGAGGGTGGTGAGGCACTGGAACAGGTTGCCCAGAGAAGTTCTGGATGTCCCGTCCCTGGAAGTGTTCAAGGCCAAGTTGGATGGGGCTTTGGGCAACGTGGTCTAGTGGAGGGTGTCCCTGCCCATAGCAGGGGGGTTGGAACTAGATGGTCTTTGAGGTCCTGTCTAACCCAAACCATTTTGTGATTCTATGTTAAAGAGAAAATGACAATTGGTGAAGTTGCAGCTTTCTTCTGATCTGTGTTCATCTTCTTTCCAAATGAAGTTGTTGTAAGAAGTTAGATGATTTCTGTATTTCAGGAGTTGTAAAAAGCGGTTTATACACTGGATTTTTATCATAGTTGAATTTGTTATTCACTAACTTATGTTGAACAAATCAACAAGTCCAGTGTAGGAAAGGACTGCAGTTTTTTTGCCCAGTTTGATGTGCTTCAGGAGAATTACAAATCTGATCAGCTTGATACTATTCAGACAGCAGAGAACATGAAAACTGATGTCAGTCTGATTCTGTCAAAGCAAATGCTTTTGCCTACCCATCAATCAGTCACTTACTTTGAAGGGTAGGAGGATATCTTGTGTTCACACAAGTAAACGGTATTTTTAAAGGTTGTTCTTTTGGAAGGATGTTGCAGCTGTCTGTTAACTGATGGTTTGTTTGCATTTATAGTAAAAAGAGATGGGCAAGCCCGTGAGCCCCTGGGGCACAAAAGTCATCGAAATGTACACTGTGGTGCATACTCTGCCCTCCAAGGGGACTGAAGCAGACACAGAAGAACAAAACGCAGTGAAGCAAAGTCAAAACTCCTGAGAATCGTTAAAGAATGCATATCAGTTTCTAAAAAGTTAGTGAGGTGTATATAGCTATCAGAATCAGACAATTCAATTGCAAGGAAAAAGAAATCCACAAAGAAAAAATGGTTTAACAAGTAAGAAGCTAGCTTTCTTGTGGATACTGTATTATAAATAGTTCTGTGAACTGTGGTTAGTAAAGCCTCATTTCCTGTGGACTTCCTTGTTTCTAAACACTTGGGCACATGAAGCCTTTCTTGCAGAAGCGACATTCAATATGATGCTCTCCCAGGTGGGTTCCCCAAATGCCTGGTACTGATTGTGCTCTCTGCATAAATCATATCGATAGCATTTTTCTTCTCTGCTACCTGTTTTCGTCAAAGTTGTAGGAACTTGGTTTCTTTCAGCCTGTTAACCTCTCCTTTTAATTGAAATGAGTTGAATTCAAAAGTTCTAGAAGAACTTTATAGTATAAATGTACGTGCTTCCGTATGGACAGCACAGCTGCATAATCGTAGTTTCCTTTGAAAATCAAGCCAAAATGAAAGCTGTTGTAATAGGGCTGACTACTTCAAGAATCAAGTTTTTAGGACAAAACTGATGTTTGATTGGCCTTTTTCAATCCCTTGGGTTATTAAGTGTGATGAAAACAAAAAAGTGGGTTAAGAAAGAGAGAAAGATACACAGAAATAGGAGCAAACCCCCAAACCCGACATCAGCCCTGTTTGCTGGTTGTTTTTGCGTGAATACATCGCATCCAAAGCATCCGTACTAATCCGGCAGAGACGTGCTCAATCCACAGAAGGCTCTGCGAAGCCACAGTTGAATGATTGCCTTGGGTGGGTGTCCGCCAGTCTCTAGAGGAGATGGGACTGGCTGTGTCGGGCAGGTTCGTTGGCGAATGGCATGTATTCACTTTTTCGGCTCCCTTCGTATGATTCACAAGTGTCACATGTCTCTGTTTTCTGTGGTACGAGAAGGAGGATGGTCTGGTCATCTGAGGAGCTGTTCTCTCTCATCACCCCTTGTGCAGCAAGTGTAAATTGAAGTAACCAAAGGGGCAACATCAGATCCAGGTAATTTTTACCATTATGCGTAACATCAGGTCAGGCTGCATATATATGCTACTACTACGGCAGAGTAGTGATGTCTGTGGAAACAAGGGCATTGGACTGCTAACAGATTAAATTACTCCATTCTGCAGGAAATCAATCTTTCTACAGTTTCGTTTTTTAGAGTGGTTACTGCCATTGTGACCGAGGTCTGTAGATAAAACCATCTCTGTCTCGGTAGAGGGAGGAGCAGGAATAAAATTCCCTTCTTTTCTGTATTAACCTTTCAAGGCATTATTTATAGCATCAATATGTACTATTTATATTTAAGGGGTTTTATTATCGTCTCTTGGAAAGAAACCTTTATGAGTAGCACATACTGTGAAGTAGCCTACCATTCAGGAGAATGTAGTAATGCAAAGTTCCAGAGGAGCGAAATGCTTTTAATGGGGCACATCATCAGTATTGGGAATTCACCAGCTTTTTCCACGTAGTCTCATTAAGGTTATAATTTGTGCACCCCACCCCCCTCTTTGTTTTTTTGCTGCTCCAGGGAGGATGAGACACTGTAAGACCTCATAGATTAAAATCCTTGGCATAATCAATTAAAAAAAATTGAAAGTAGATTTGATCATTTTGTGAATAAGGGTAAATTTTGTGGTTTTGTTGTTCTACCTCATTTTCCTGTAAGACTATTTGTCTCTTATTTCTGTGTGAATGACCCACAAAAACCACTGCGATTAGTATAAATTATATGCAGAAGTACTGTAATGAGCCTAAAGAAACTTCATAGTGGAAAAATATTTTGTTTACCTTGTTTCTTTTAAAAATACTTTAATAAACCCTACATACGGAGGATTTAAAACCTGATGTCCCTTGATTTGTTCAGCTTTATCTGTGAAAATACAAACATAATCATGTTATAGTTCATTT